TAGTTGCAAATTCATTGTCAGTGAACGAAATTGGCAACCAAATAAGTGTAGTCGCTATAAACATAAATCTTTATCAACCGAATAACTGTGGTCGCTAATCATGTATTCTGGTCACTATATACAACATTATGATATGATTTAGGTTGGTAAAAATTCATCTCCAGCACATTTCTTATCATAAAATGGATATGAGTCATATTTCAAGCGCTCATTGATTTTTTATAACTTGGTTATCCCATTGAACTAACATCTTGGGATTTTCAATCAACAATGCTGGGTCATTATTATTAAAATTCTTACATAGTAGGCTTTAAAATAATTATCCTCGATCTGCTGTATACTTGATCTCTTGGTAAACTTTTAAAAGTGGATCCACGTTATTACACCATATAAGATCAATTATTTTATTATACTATGTCTTTGATATATTTGTCGATGCTGACACAATACAATAAATTTATATCTTAATAAAAGTAGCCAGCTATCACAATTAATTTTTGGATAATAGACATAAGTCGCCAATTAAGAATTCCGACCCCAATTTTCGAAATAACGTGCTTATTTCTAGCTTTATTTAAAGCTCTAACTCGACCTACAAATACACAACATATTTGGAGAATTTCTAATGCACGAAATCATTGTGAAACATTTTTTTTTTTGAATCCTTGGTACTAGATATTCAATAACCATTGAATCCATTATGATGCATTTCATCGCTTGAATACTCTTCATACATTTCAATACTATTTTTTCATATCCAATATAAATATAATAATTGATTTTCATTCTCATTTTAAGCACTTTTGAATTAGGGAACGCCATCTTTGTGAATCCTCCTCATACTTTTAAAATTAATAAAGGATTTTCTACTTTTCCATTTTCATAGAATTTTTCTCATGACTTATTAAAAATGTAACTTATAAACAATGATATCCCGTAACTCCTTAGATGTGAATTTAATTTTCTAGTAATGCTATTCTCTTTTCAACCGTTTCACTATAATTTTGTTGAATGAATTCCTAACTCATGCTTACATTGCTTTTAACTGGGCCAATAATTGAACCCAAACGTTCACGTTGATTTATTTAGTTGTTCGTGCCCATATCTTTGTATCATCAAATAAGAAATTTTACTCTCATTCTTCCTTGCTTTCCTTCTCACTAATGGATAATTCATTATTAACATGGGAAAAATTCTTATATCAAGCCTTAAGCACCCCCATTTAATTCATAGTAAAGGGCATGATGAGTAACATAAAGAAGGTAATTTTATTACAAATAAACCTTTTCAATTTCCAATGAATGAACCATACGGAATTTATCATGCGGGATGTGTAAAGATTTTGAGAAGATTCTACTCATTGTCATGTAGGATTACAATCAAAAAGATATACGAGTTTTCAGCCAAATATGCTCTAGAAAAATTCCATAATATTCTAATGTTTTCCCTAAGTTTCCATGTATTTAAGCGACTTAAATTTGGCATTAATTTTTTATGCACTCGAAATTAATTTCAAGCAACTAAATTAGCTTTGGCAATCTACTCACGGAGTAGAATAAGTTCGACATTCAAATATCTAGCACCAACTAACGGCTTCAACTTAAATGATTAGTCAAAAATCTGTCCAAACCAATTTTCAACGATTTCCCAAATGAACAAAAATTAATGAAAATGACTATACATACACTAAGATTACATTGTGCTAGGTACGTTGTGGGTTGAACATTCTGAAGTCCAGTCACTACCAAAAAGAAGATTACCAGGGACCACAAAAATTGGTCACTGAATGATATTTTCTGGTCGTTGAAATGTTTTACCGACCATTATATCCTAGTCACTGGTTAGTCGCTAATTCACTGTCGGTGAAGGAAATCAGCAACCAAATAAATGTAGTCGCTATAAACACAAACCTTTATCGACTAAATAACTGTGGTCGCTAATGACTTATTCTGGTCGCTATATACAATATTATGATATGATTTAGGTTGATAAAAATTCATCTCCAGCGACAAAAAAAAAAAATTATATTTTGAGCAACCAGGTATATTAGCGGCTATTTCCCATCCTTTAGAGACCAATATTGGTCGATAGTGGTGTACCAATCGAGATAAAATTTTGGATTTTGAATGATAAATATACCTACCAAATTGTGGTGGGAGAAGTTTACTGACAACGACCAATTCGTGGTTGCTGAATCTATCCCTTTATCAGCAACTATTAATTGGTTGGTGGATGTCAATTTTTTTTCCCTTTTTTGAAATCGTTTAACAACCAAATCTAGTAGTAAATGTTAAATTAATAGATTAAGAAAGCAACATTTTTTTTTTTTGTTCCCTCTGATATTTTGTCAAATCCTTCAATTCGACTTTCAACAACCACAAAGTTCATACTAAAAAGGCCACAGTAAGAACAACAATGAAATTAACTAAAAGTATACAATAATAACTACAAAGGATAATTGTTATAGCTTATGTAACAAGTGTTAATAATCTCTACATAATTCTAAATGTCCTACACTTAACCTAAAAAATATAACTTCTGAAATTTTCCTTGTGACTTCAACAATATAATCACAATACTATGGCACTAACTGATGAAGGTGGTGGAGGCGGATCATTATTCGGTCTTGGAGGATGCTGACTCATATCTATTCGTGCAACAAGACTCTGAATAAGTAAAGCATGTTGTTCAAGACGTTGTGTAAGCTCTCTAAAAGTATCATCTTTCTCCTTATCTCGTTGAGCAAGAATTTCCAACTTTTCCATTAACCCAGGAGTTGTGCATGTGTTGATATATGACTTGCGTGGAGCAGGTCCAATCCCAGAAATAGTTCCAGCACTCTTATCAAAAAAATGAACACATATTGCTATTTCATCCATAATGGATGTATCATTCCCTAAATGTGCTTGTTGCAACTCCACCGTCTCTTATTGTTGTATAATATCAAAAGATTGTTAAAATAATTAACATTTATTAAAATAATATATTGGCATTATAAGTAATATATCTTACATATCGCGACTCGGCTAGTTAGTCATCGCATCATATGAGAAAAAATACATCCAATATTTAATGAACACTAAAAAATGAAATAACACCATAGGACAATGAAAAAGCTTTTGCTTTAGCTTCAGGGTAACATTTAAAAGACATATTTTAAGAGACATTAATTTTTCCAGATGTGCCGGTTTCCAGTAATGATAAACAGCAAAAATCAGTTTATATAGAAGTACCAACATTCTTGTAAAATATTCGGAATGTAGGCAAAAAGGTGATTGATGTTTCACCCGAACAATATAAATTCTTACAATTTCTAATGGAAGATGATAATGACATCATTTCTACTCCTCATCATCATCATCTTTAATACTTGCAAATGTAACTCCATTAATCATTCCTAGATATCCTAAGTGCTTCAGAGAATTCATGCACCGAACATTCTTATGAAAGCAATCCCAATTGACAATTACATAAGTGATCTCCTATTAAGAGTATCATTACACCACACTTAGTTTGTTTATGTAAGCTATATAGATAATTAAAACTTTAACTAATCATAAACAATTGTTAGATAGCACATTTCTTATCATAAAATGGATATGAGCTATATTTCAAGCGCTCATTGATTTTTTATAAGTTGGTTATCCCATTGAATTAACATCTTGGGATTTTCAATCAACAATGTTGGGTTATCATTATTGAAATTCTTACATAGTCGGCTTTAAAATAATTCTCCTCAATATACAGTATACTTAATCTCTTGGTAAACTTTTAAAAGTGGATCCACATTATTACACCATGTGAGATCAATTATTTTATTATAGTATGTCTTTGATATATTTGTTGATACTAACATAATACAATAAATTTATATCTTAGTAAAAGCAGCTAGCTATCACAATGAATTTATGGATAATAGACATAAGTTGCCGATTAAGAATTCCGACCCCAATTTTTGAAATAACGTGCTTATTTCTAGCTTTATTTAAAGCTCTAACTCGACCTACAAATACACAACATATTTGGAGAATTTCTAATACACGAAATCATTGTGAAACATAATTTTTTTGAATCCTTGGTCTAGATATTCAATAACCATTGAATCCATTACGATGCATTTCATCCCTTGAATACTCTTCATACATTTCAATAATATTATTTCCTATCCAATATAAATATAATAATTGATTTTAATTCTCATTTTAAGCACTTTTGAATTAGGGAACGTCACCTTTGTGAATCCTCCTCATACTTTTAAAATTAATAAAGGATTTTCTACTTTTCCATTTTCATAGAAATTTTCTCATGAGTTATTAAAAATGTAACTTATAAACAATGATATCCCGTAACTCCTTAGATGTGAATTTAATTTGCTAGTAATGCTATTCTCTTTTCAACCGTTTCATTATAATTTTGTTGAGTGAATTTCTAACTCATGCTTACATTGCCTTTAATTGGGCCAATAATTGAACCCAAACGTTCACGTTGATTTATTTACTTCTTCGTGCCCATATCTTTGTATTTCGTCATCATCAAATAAGAAATTTTACTCTCATTCTTGCTTGCTTTCCTTCTCACTAATGGATATTTTATTATTAACATGGGAAAAAAACATATATCAACCCTTAAGTACCCCCATTTAATTCATAGTAAAGGGCATGATGAGTAACGTAAAGGAGGTAATTATATTACAAATAAACCTTTTCAATTTCCAATGAATGAACCATACGGAATTTATCATGCGGGATATGTAAAGATTTTTTGGGCACTTCCTGGAAATGAAAAATGGAGACTCATTAACTCAGCGATGAAATCTTCATTAATTTGAGAATAAATTGGCGTGATAGTGGAGGAAACGGGCACAAAATGTACTTAAGCGTGAATCCGCATTAAATTCATCATGTAACCTGCTTCACCTTTTCCAATTCCTAAACCTTTATAACCACATTTCCACCCCCATTGCACTGTATCGAAGAAAATTTGTTCCATAGACATAGATGATGATGTATTGGGGTCCGGTTTTCGGGGCCGTTGTGCTGTTCGTTCTGTTGTCGCCGGGTCTGCTGATTCAGATTCCGGGTGGTAACTGGTACTTTGAGTTTGGAAACTTCAAGACTAGTGTGGTATCCATACTGGTTCATTCTATTATATATTTTGGTTTCATTTGCGTTTTCCTGTTGGCTATTGGTGTTCATATGTAGATGGGCTGATTTTTATCAATTGAATAATGTACTCGGATTTCAAAGGAATTGAATTCTATTTTCGATTACCAAATTTTTGTGCTCGATTTTTCGTTTTAATTGAATCGAATTGCTCGTTGGAGCTTAATAAACTTTAATAGCATATTAAGACTAGAGTTTCAAGTTAAAATGTTAATTTTATTAAGAGGATTAATCGAGACATTTAAATTTGTTCTATACTTTCATTTCTATTCGATGCGAAATTTTATCCACACTTTTGTCAAACAGTTTCTGCGATCTCGTGTAATTATTCTAAAAGTGTATGCTCTAATGTTATTAGAAGATATGTTGAAAGTGGCAATTAGATTTTGAAAGTACTAAGAGTTCATCAGTCTCGACAAAGTTCTAATTTTGACACCATTCTTTAACAAAATTCACTTTTTTTTTTCTTTTTTTTCTTTTTCTTTTTTTTTAACATCAGAACATCCACTTTTGTAAGTCATTCATTTTTCCTCTTATTTTTTTTAAGCTAAAGGGAATTAAAGGTTAAAATAGAAAAACCTTTTATTAATACTCAAAAATAAGTCTTAACCGTTAGCACATGTAGAAAATAAATACACCCTCGACCTTTAAAATCAGTCTTTTCAGTTCTTAACCTTAAATTTTTATTTGCATAGTTCATAGTTGGTCCATTTCACATAATCCCATCAATTTATTCTTTATTACTTTGCCCCATCCCACCATTAAAGACTGAAAAAAAATAATAAAAATAAAATTGGATTAATGATGCGAATGATAATTATCATAATTATTTTATTATTTAATGACATCATTTTCATTATATATAAAATAATTTATTCTTTATTGTTTTTCCTCCCCCTCCAAACCCAAAATAAAGGTTGAACTAAATGAAGTATTATTTTAGTTAATGATAATTTCTATAACTATTTTATTGTGTAATAAAATGATTTTCATTGTATTTGAGAGGAAGTTGAAGTCGCCGGCTCAATTAATGGTTAGCAGTTGAACCTTAGACTCATTGAGTTGGTGACCCGCCCTTTCCTTTAGGTCACTGCTCAAGTTGAATATGAAACTATGCTTAAAGATGCTACATCTTTAATATTTAAATGAGATTCAAGTTGGGATACAATGCAAGTAAAAGAGTCATTTTCTATTGCGGCAATACAAATTTTTTTACAAGAGGAATTATTATATATAAATTGATGAATTCCTCTGACTAGAAAGAAACATAATCTTCAGAAAATCCAGGATCTAATTTTGATAAGACTGTCGAAAATTATAAAATTAAAATCACAAAAATAAAATAAAATAAATAAATAAAATTGTAATGTGATGCAAGTTTATTTACAATTAATGTGGCCCCACGACGGCTGTGGACATAAGTCTCAACGGCCCCGCCTTCAAATGTGGGCTAGCCTATGTCTCAGCCGGTAGTGTACGTGTACAAAGCCGGTAGTGTAGATAATCCTAACGCTAGGAAACTTGATCACATTCACGTGACTGATGTCGCAATTTTGAAAGTGAAAAACTGTGGGAGGTGAGAGAAACCATTAAAACAATAATTGATTGCTGTATTTTCAGATGTGATAATATCCTAAATTATTCCAAAATATTTCTAAATTTAAGTCACAATATGTTAAAATTGGGTTGTGACCCGAATTCTTTTTTGAAGGTACATTTGGAGTTGATTGATTTGCTTTGGAGGAGTAGAAGACTACGAAAAGTCAAACAATGATTTGGACTCCTGTTTCAACTCAAATGCTCCATTATTGGTTTTACTTATTATAATAAGGCTTCACCATATATTAGACTTTTCATTGTTTTATATTTCTTAGTTTGTTAGGATTTATTTGATTATAAATATGTGGTGTACAACACATATTGAAATCGAGCAATTGTCCAACGTATTAGTTTGGTCCCGATAGATCCTTTATAATACTCCATTATTGATTATTAGTGAATTATTCATCTCTGGCCATGATTTTTTCGGTCTTGAATTTTCACATAAATCTTGTGTTCATGTTTGATATAATTTTCATATCACATCTTATTTCTCGTCTTTAATTCTTAACAAGTGATTTCGGAGCGATATACAATTCTTAACAATTGGCTCAACTTCTTAGTACAATCTATTATATTAAGGAAATACAAATATGATTTACCTTCCTGATTTTTGAATTTTATTTTTTTTACAAATTTGTTATAAGCTATGGTTTAGTCTAATTTTTTAAAGAGAAAACTATTAATCCTTACGTTTTAACTTTTCACCATATTTTTTTAACAATCAAGTCTTAAACTTATATTTCCATAAATCATGGATTCAAAATAACAAACTTATCCTTTTGTGGTATAAGGACTTTGACCACATCTCTTCCAAATGCCTTAGTCGAGCTTTAATCATTGAAGAATGAAAGAATGTAATAGATTAGCCATTAGAAAATGTAGTCTATAAGCCTAAACTTGAAGCTTCTGATGATTAAGATGACAGTGAGGAACCTCCTTAGGTGGCATACGAACTCTTCCTAAGAATCTAGATACTATATCTTTTGTTCTTGACACCTCTCGATTACGTGTTGTATGTCGAACCTTACCCCACCCAAAGAGGCTGATGATTTCATTAGTCACTTTTGGAAAACCCACTTTGATGTAGGACCAATGGAAAATTCAGCAGATAAATTATAAGCAACAAAAAATAAGTAGAGATGATGTGATCCAAGATGCAGGAGTCACGAAGGCAAGTTCGAATTAAGACTCATTGATTATCGAAGCAGGCCCGATGATGTGATCGAGAGCGAAATGAGTTAAACAGGTAATGGGGATGCTCGTCAATGCCACTATTATGGCACCATGTTTGGGACGCAAAATGGAGCAAGTTTTATGTTGGGGTCAAAGGCTGAAGAGCTGTGGATCAACGTGATAAAGATGGACCATATGGAAAACAAGTAGTGTGGATTCAAATGGGCATAACTTTTAGCTCAAGTGTCGAATTTTCGCCCATGAGTACCATTCGAAATCGTCACGAAATTTTGCACAAAGAGTAGGAGGTTTTCAAAAAATAACTATGCAACCGCAAAGCTTAAAAGCCATGTGACCGCATAGGCTGTTACCGAAACAAAATTGAGGCTGATTATTTGTCCTATGCGACTGCATTTATTTATACTATGCGACCGCATAGTACAAATTTTCGGATGCATTTTCAATTTTTGGTAACTTATCTAGTTTCCATAAAACTTGATTCTAATTATTATTTTTCGGTATTTGAAGCATAATTTCCATCCAAGACAATATTTTTGGGGGTTGGTATAAATAATTTCTCATATTGATTGTAAGAACAACTTCTGATATTATTGAGAATTAATTTGAGCTGCAATTCTTGCTTTCCAATCTTTGATTTTCTTAGAACAATTGTTGAGCTTATCAAGGTGCTTCCTTGTGGCATTCAAAATCTGAGTGTGAGTCTTTGGTTGTGTGATCAAGAGGTTCATCATATTATTGCTATTGTGGGCTTCCTTGGTTTGTCATCTTGGGATTCAAATCCATAAACCGGGGTTAATTCTTGGCTTTCCTGGGGTTTAACAATCTTTTGCAGGTTCGTTAGTGATCGTGCTAACCGGGTTCCCATCAATTGGTATCAGAGCACATGCTCCAAATTAATCGAGGTTATACCTTTTATTATCTTTGAGTCTTTATATCTTGTTCTTTCTATTTTCCGCGTTATTCTTTTGTGTCCTACATTATTGAGTCTCTGATTTCTTATCCTTATTTCGTGTCTTGTTATTGTTGGTATTTGATTCCTAATCTCCATGAGTCAATCAATAATTCGTCAAGACTTGCTTATTTTGCTAGTAGTTAGTTAATCTTCTCGCACTAAAAAAAAATGACGAAACAAAAGAGAAATTAAAAAAAAATTGTTGTGCTTTTATTGTTTAATTTAGTCTAAGCATGTTCACAAGTTTCTTTGAGTCATGTTTGTGTCGATCCATAAATTTCATTTATCAATTCGTGAATCTTGGTAGCTTTCCATTCAAATTTTCATTCCCATTGTGTCAAATTCCTATTATTATCATAACTCTTGAACGCATCCGGTTTAGAATCCACAAGGTTAAATCTTGTTGAGTTCACTTTGTTCTTTGAGACACGTAGACGAAAGCATTGAGTGATAAAGGGCAGAGAGGTGAGATCAATAGAGGGTAAAAGTCTTACCATGTGATTCTGAGTGAAATATTAGTGAGGCAAAAAAAATAAATTAAAAGAATTTAGATTTAGGATGTTTGATAGGAAGGTTCCAATTCTAGTCGTAACGGAAATCACATTGATGCATAGGATGATATGATGAGGCGATTTGAGAGGTTCTTTATCGATATGGAGGATAGGTTAAATAAGCTTGATAGAGAAGTTACAAAACTTAGTAGGGGGCAACAGGCTGAAGTATCTTACGCTAGGAGACCGGGTAGACGGGAGCCTAGGGTGGAAAGGCGGGAGGCGTATGATTACTATAGTGAACCGAATGAGGATGAATACAATGAAATTGAAATGGGACGGGTGAGGAATAGAAGTGATAGGCTTGAACAACACGGAAGAAATCATCCTGGTGATGCATTAGATGGCAATCTAGGTAATATAAAAATGACGATTCCACAATTTAGGGATAGAAGTGACCCCGAAACATATTTGGAATGGGAGAAAAAGGGGGAGTTAATTTTTGATTGCCATAACTATTCGAAAGATAAGAAGGTAAAGATTGCAGTGTTAGACTTCACTGATTACGCCATCACTTGGCAGGATCAAGTGGTCACTTCATGGCGTCGGAATCGGGAGAGGCCTATTAATACTTGGGACGAATTGAAGGTGGGGATGAGGAAGTGATTTGTGCTTGATCATTATTATAGGGAACTCTATCAAAAATTGCAAAGTTTGTATCAGGGGTCAAACAGCATAGAAGATTATCATAAGGGGATGGAGATCTTGATGATTAGGGCGAATGTGGAGGAAGATCGGGA